TATGTATCTTCCATAATTCAGAAACGATAAGCTGAAGAACATTGAAATTTTGTATATAGGACTTCTATAACATCTAGCAGTGCTTCTGTTTCTCTTATTGCAATCAGTCGTACCAAACGTATATATACATGTATGCCTTTAGTTGATCTGTGTGCAATAGTTGTGGGATTAACAACAGTTTCAAAATCTAAGTACAGCTAAGGCGAACGCAACGTGAATTCGTTTGCATTTGCAACCCTTTGTAGTATAATCAATTAAATCAACTTATGCACCAAATTCAGCGCAGTTCTACCCAGTAGAGCCAAAAATCAACTTTAAATTTCGGTGCACCAGCATTTTTGTCTTTTGCTTGTTTTGCGCAGAAAATCCAGGAAATCATGCGTTGTCCACATCAGATTTTTTTTCGTTTATTTGTCACATAATCGCTTATTCATTTGAGCCAACCAGCGGCCGAGCGGTAAGTCGCTGAACACTGGTAGTTCGGTCCGATGTTCGAATCCCGTGAACGGGCTGGCTGCATGGGCGTTTTCGTGGTTTTCCACATGTGTAACGTGTATACGAGCCAGCTTCTCTTAGAAAGTCCTCCACGAAGGCATCCCTCCCCTTAGGCAGATAGTCCTAGTATGCTTTGCCATAGTTAAAGAAACCAAACTATTCATTTGATCAGTTTCTCACAAAGTTAATGTGCTTTTTCATTGTATGCTATTGAGTTCTTCTTTTCATGTTGCCTCATGCTTGTAATACTATCATTTTTTCCTATTTTAGTAACTACTTTAACATCTGAAGTATATAATTAATAAAACGCTTAAGCTGAAGTAGATAAAACTGCTTATCTTTTGACCTCACATTTTCTTCTTTCAATTCAAAAATTATAGTACAAAATGATTAATTGTTGCAACCTAAAATCGAAGGAATCGAAGGAAGTTGTAATCTAAACTAACTTGCATTAGTATATCGTCCCCTTTCATAAAAGCTACAATATTTTGAGTTACACATATTTTAAAACAATAATTAAGGTGTGTTTATCGTAAAGTTTCATTAAACTGTTTAAAATAATACTTGTGAAAAACACCATAAAAATTATACAAACAAATGGAATAAATCAAAGAAAAGAACTTGAGATATACACTACATAAAATCCCTAGTTTCCCATGAAGAACCTATTGCAGCTTTTTAATTAAAATAAGGATATGATCTTTTAGCAACTTAACTATAGAAATTCGGGCTTTGTGACGTGTGAAGTTATGTATGCGAAACGCTAAACGCTCTATCCATTTACAGTGGGTATTATTTTTAAATGATACTGGCGTGGTTTCAGATCTTAACAATTGGTTGTGAACTACTTCTGATTTTAATTTGATGTTTTTTCAGGCTTTAAAACGTTTTAGTCCTCTTAGTATGTTTTTAAACTTTTGCTTAAAATTTTGTATTCGACTTGTATTTTTACGTTTGAATTCCTTTTATGTTTGGGTTCCGTTTTTCTACACATTGAGGAAAAATCTTGTATTTATAATTACTGCTACAAATTTAAAAAAAAAAAAAAAAAAATTGTTTAAAATATTTTAATTAAAGATTACATACCGCATTTGCTCCCTTATTGTTTTTTGTGGTACTTTATCGTGCAAAAATCGAGAAGGAAAAAATTACAAGTATAATCTTTTTTTTTTTTTTTTTTTTTTTTTTTTTTTTTTTTTTTTTTTTTTTTTTTCAGAAAGATGCTGTTACGATAGAAAAATGCCAGATGAAAAGTATTCTTGGGTAAACTACCGGTAACTATCACAATATTATTTAATTAAAAGAAATCTACATTTGAATAAGAATAGATAGCAAAATTATCATTGCAATACCTAATAAGATATTTTTATTTCTACTTCTCGCTTTTTCTTGTTGTTGTCTTCTGCTACTCTATAGCCCTCAAGTAGTTCAGTGCAGCTACATTTTCTGTCTGTCTCGTCGACTTCCTCACCGTATACTCTGTAGCCGGAAAAGTAAGAATACAGGGTCAAGTGAAATTGACATTAAGTAAATGGGTGTCTCGGTAATTTCGCGAGATATCGCGAAGCTGACAACGGTTTGGGCGACTTGTTTTGTTTTCGAATTTGGCTACCGTTTAGCTACATTTCGGTCTTGTCCCTGTATTACCGTAATATGTATTGAAATTGAATAAATAAAATTGACCACTATGTTGGGTGTAACCATAATTCCACCGTCGTTTTTCTCTTTAGTAATTTTGAGAAGCAGAAAGTACTAGAAATAGCTCGGCGGCCGGTTGAAAACTATAAAGGGCAGGAGAGAGAGAGAGCACATGAGTTCAGTTGCTTACTTATTGTTGTTGCGAATTGTATTTCCGCGTGAATTAAGATAAATCCGAATTAGCTTTCTCTTTGGATGCCCTTTGCATTGCTTTGTATTTAACATTCTTAGTAGTTTGAAGTGTAACTACGGATTATACTATGTGATACTGTGAACGAATATTTCTGCGGAAAATTCCAGAGTTCCGAAATATTTCTTTTGATGAAAATAAATTTTATTAACTTATTAGCGGACTTGTGCATTCGATATATTACGAACCCTTACGCACGCAACAATATATATATACAAGTATATATATTCATACATATATATTCATACATATATTTGTGTATATATTGTATATATATTCATACTCGTACATATATTTGTGTATAACATTATTAAGAGAGATAACAAAATCTAATTCAAAAACAAGTTAAGAAATATTTCTTTTAATGTGAAATATGTGTAAGATATAAAATGAAACAATATGTGTGTATGTAAGGATTATGTTAATTTTATTAACAGTTAAATTTTAAGTTAAAATTCCCTTCCTGTCAAATTCTTTACTTCCGGCCAGAACGTAGTTTTGGAATCATTCTAAATAGTACTTAATGAGGAGAAGCGGTATTTAAACCGCGAAGTCTACTTGCAGAGTTTGAGAGAATCAGAGTTTCTGATTAGCGCGCGTCTGCCTTTTGACTATTCTCTCTCTCTCTCTCAAGCTGTTATTACGGTCGGCCGTACTTAAGCCCTTGATAAGCTTCGTAGTCAAATAGAGTTAAGGGGCCAACTCGTTTAGAATCTTGATAGCTTCGGCTATATTTCTTTATTTAATCTTAGTTTTAGTTTAATATTTAGTCTCTTAAGTTCAAGTGTCGGCTTTGATTGTACACTCCAAGGCGCAGTTTTGTTAAATCTTATTGGAATAATAAAAGGTTAGTTACACTTCCATCTTTTTCTTTCTTGTTACACGAACTTAAGCGATTATTTGCTAACTAGTTCTTCAGATTCGTCACTTTCTACAGTAATTGAGAAATACACTAGTGAGAATCTTACATGTGAATAAAACCTGACTTTGAAAACTGTAAATAATGTGTAAAAATAATAAAATACAGCTTCACTTTTATGTATTACGTGTAATTTTCAAGTGGTATCTTATCTGATTTATAACAGACATCTCAGTATTTAATTAATATTAAAGAGAACCTTAGCCCAGACATTCTACCTATCTATGCACTAGTATTCGTATAATAATTTATTCTTTAGGCCTTAAAAATCCGCTAAAATACAGGAATACTTTTGCAAATTTATCAAAACGCATCAATTTCCTTCTTCATTTCACCTTAATTAAATAATAATATTTAAATATTTTTAGCTATTGACATACTGACATGCCTTTCTAAAATTCATAATTTTCAGTCTACATCCAAGGAAAATATGTACTAAAATAATGTAATGCATATGAATTACTTAATGATTGCATGTACACTGCGTAAAAAAGAGGGGGGACAGTTCTATATCTCCTGTTCTACTGAGCCTATTGACGAAATTCAAATTGCGTTTTTCATGTCTTGAAAGTGAGACTTAAGATATGTGTTAAATTTATATATAGCGTTCTTCTTATATAGGTATTTAGACATAAAATCCGACTTTTTTAAAAATGTTTCCAATTTGTTTCCATACTTCGAATCTACGATATAAAGTACGCGAAACTGCCAAGTTTTGTAAAAATCTCACGGGTAGTTTTTAAAAAATTAGCTCTCAAAAGTTTAACTCCTCAATGTTATTTGAATTTGATATATATTTATTAATATCTCTTTTTTTATTAAACTTACTTGAGTCCTTCTTCCAGAATTCGAAATTTATTCTTAATCCAAATGTAATTCGCACATTTTATGACTTATTTTTTAAATTTTTATTTTTTAATATTTTTCATAATTTTTCGAAGAACATTTTGTCTTATAACCTATAAAATTTTCAACATCATCTTAAAGTAGATGTATTTCTAGGCACACCGACAAAAAATGAGAGCGTTTTACTCAAAATTTCCTAAGATATACATAAATTTACAGGTTGGAGCGTTTTGAAATTGGTATCTTTTTTTCTTTAAGCGATAATGCGCAATTTGTAAAATTTATTTGAAAGTATGAACGATGACGTTTTTCCGCTCTTCTACAATGAAAAAAGAAAAAGAAAATAGGTTGCTATAAATTAAGAAGTTCGCCAAGTAAATTATTCTTGGCGAAAACTAAAAAATACGCTAAGATAAATTTTTGAATTTCTCCGTAAATTGGCCTAGTAGAACGGGAGATACAGAACTGTCCCTTCCCCCCCCCAGCAGTGTACCTTTTTACCTTCTAGCAGTTAAATTTAAACTGAACTAAGTTATTTAAAATTAATTGGGGGATAAAACAGATGCGAGATGGATAGAGTAATAAAATCTACCTATCTCTGGTTAAAAATAAGTGATGTATAAGGCCTTTAAACTTACGCATTTCTTTGTTTTTGAAAATTACTAATGCATAGTCAAAATAATTTTAACTATAACACATTTAGATGTATATGTCCATTATTGTTCCCTTCTTATACTCTTGAAAAGAATATCTTTTTATGATAAAGTGTTTGATTTCTGCAATCAGTGTCGTAATTCTTATTATCTAAAAACTGTATATGTTGAATTTATGCATCACAAAATGTATACTAGATTCAAAAACAGAAACACATATTTTAATGATACTTTACACATTATCTACATCACATTTACTTACAGCAGTGATATGTGATAAAACAGATTTTAAGACGTACAATAACTGATTTTCAACAAATATAGATTGTTCTTTTTGAATAAAATAAATAGTTTTTTTTGAATTATCCACTGAAGTCTAACAATTGTTTTGATTTATAGAGATAATTCAAGCAATTTACCTGGTAAATATTTGATCATTTCAATTCACACGGTATTCCTTCCTTTGTTTACAAGTTCAGAATTTTTTTTTTCGCAGAAATACATTAAACATACTTCTATTAAGTAATTCTGGTTTTGAAATTTTTAGATAAGAACATGATGCACTAGATTATTTCACTAATGATTATTGACTTTTTGGCATCATCTTCAATTTTTATTGGATAGCATTTTGTAACAATAAGTTCCAATTAAATATAAAGCACAGATTCAGTCTAAGGAAAGATCGTGACAGCATCAGTTTTCTGCAATGATTAATGTAATTTTTTTTAAAAACATCGTTCATTCAGCGCATAGCATTTAATTTTTAAGTAATTCCAATTAAGTAGTTTAATAATAAAAGATACATTTTATTACATACAAGACAATTCTTGCATCTAATTATTCGTTAATGTTTAAGTTAAAAAGATAAGGAAATATGGAATCTGTGATTCATTCAATATTGCTTAAGAATAAATAATTTTCGTTATGAAGTTTTTATTTATATGCCTTAAGTTCTGAAATTCATTTTCATATAAATTCAAGAATTATAAATATTTATCGCTTTATGTAACAAGATTCCGGAATTTTACCAGTGGTTCAATATAGTAAATTTGGCTGCTATTTAACTTCGAACTACATTGTATTTATGCTTTCCTCATTCAACTATGTTTGCTCGAAAATAATTTTAAGATATTCAGTTAAATCTAACTTCATTTCATTTTACAGCAATCATATACATCATTTATTCAGAAACATATTTTCCATGAAAAATGTGCATTAGATTTAATATTTTTCATGAATTTACCTTGAATAAAGATTTTATTTGGCTATTATTTTTACTCTTGCGAACAAAGATTTTAAATGAATCATTACTTTTGTTCTCGTTAACAAAGATTTTGACATCATACAATTCGTTAAGATTTTAATATTATTATGAATTTTTACCTAGCTTATAAAGTGTTCGCATTTACTTAAATAACTTAGCATTACTTTTATTTATACTCATAAATATGACATTAATTTGCATATCTAATGTTAGTTATTTAGAAATATAATTGCGTAATATGATAAAGTAGCTAAAATTATTCTTAAAATTTCCTAATTATTCTGTTATTGAATTTATATTATAACTTATGGAATTTTTAATGACTTTTCTTTAAAAATTAAAATAATCAAAAATATAGATAAACACAAATGATATATGTACTACATAATACTATATTTTGTGTGTTGTAGTATAGTCTGTATATTGTCCGAATGCTACAAAATATATATTTAAATTTCAGCCTTTACTATCACACTTCCTTTTTCTTTTCCTCACTATAGATGTAAACTAGTTAGAGAGTATTTAAGTCGAGGTTTTGGAACTATAAGAGAAAGCGTGTTTCTATTTCTCAAGGCCACTTTGCTAGCTTTCATCAACTCTGAAAAAATTGTAATCATTCGGTTTTGGGTTGTAGCTGCCGTCATTTAAATTGTTTCGATGGTTAGAATTTTGAGCCGACTTCAATTTAAATTTACTTGTTTAAGCTTAGAGTACTAATTTGCGTTTTAATTTGAGTATTATTTTAGTGTCATCGCGGTGGTTGTTTTATTAAGCACAAGACCTTATGTTAAAGTTCTGTTGCAAGAAAAATGTTGTTTTAAACCATTTCAAGACGCTTATTGTAGACAGCGTCAATTAGTTCACGTCTGTTAGGAATCTGATATTAGTTTATGTTACCAAAGCAGGTCAAACTCTATGAATTATCCTTAAAAAATTATGCACTTAATGTAATTAATAATTAATGATTAAATAAATACTGATTACTCAGAATTCCATCATTTAAAGCTCTCCTCTACATCAAGGTCTTTGTTGCTGAACTTAACATTAAAGTTTAAGTTGAATTATCGTAAGCTCTTTGTTTCCGATATTTATAGATTGAACATAAGAGTGTTATTTGCAAAATATGTAAAATTTATGTAAATTCTTTATAATTTTTATAAAAAAAACAAAAATCTGTTGTTTTTTAACTCACGTTTTTAACTATATTTGTTAATTAAATAGATAAATGTCTTTTCATGTATGACTGGGAAAGCAGCACTCTCAAGAAAGGGAACAAAATTTTTAAATTTTAAAGTAAGAGTAATGATTAGAACGAACTTTAATTCATTCATAATGGGTCAAAGGAAGGTTATAAAGTTTCCAATGAAACAGGATATGAATTACTGGTTTTGGAAACATTCTTCATCTAAAACTGGAAACTGGTCTCTTTGCTATATTTTCTTTAATTTTCCTATTATTATCATTATTTATTTAGCTTTTAAATCTGATCATGACCCAGCAATGCCCTAGCGGAAAAAGCCACTGAACACTTGTAGTTCTGTCTGGGTTCAAGTCCAGGCGAACGGGCTGTCTGCATGGGCGTTTGGTGGTTTTCCCGTGTGTATAGTCCATATGGACTGGTTTCCCTTATGAGTCCTCCACGGAACATCCTTCTCTTTCTGGGTACTGCCTAAAGGCGGGGCGTGTAATAAAATAAATAAAAAATTGACGTTGAATGCTTCTGGATATTTTATGAACCAGTATCGCATGTTATGAATTAAATTTAGGTAAAATTCATGTCAATAGATATATTCTGTTATTTGCGATTTAAACGATATGGCACGTAATTATTATTTCTTGAAAAAAAAGTACAGCCCATGCGGGAACGACCAACCCGGGTTTTTGTCAATCTGATCGAGCATGTTTTTCATAGATCAAGTTAATACCCCATATTCGTCCATTTTTTAATTAAATAATTAAGCACTAGGTATCATTTTGTAATTTTATGTGTGTATATCGAAGTATCTGTGTGCCAAAAACCTTATTTACAATATATTTTAAAATTTTTACGTTACTGAGACATTTTCTTTTGGCTAAAATGCTTGCTGCTTTAAATGTTATTCTTGTTAACACTTTTTTTTTCCGTTTAATTATATATACTCTTTCTATAAATAACTAATCTGACAGAGATGATCACAATACATTGACCTAAAAATGCCACAAACACTTTGTTCAGTGTGTTCGGAACATACATTTCCAACTTTTTTGCTACACACAGAATTTTTATTGTCTATGCTATGTCACCACCACCTGTGCTGGTGTATTAGAGGATGAGTGTACGTTGGCATCATGCTGAATGTCCCAATGCAAGAGTTACTAATGGCAGCCATGTTGGTCATCGATGTTATCGAAGACAAATCTGTGGCCAAATTTGAGGAGTGTTGTGTTCCTTCTTGTTGTTGCTGTTTTAGAGAGGAGCCTGCCGGCTGGCATGGTTTGCCGTCCCGGACTAAAACAGGGACTGCCACTCTTCTCGGGGAAGGCAGAGGATTTACATCCAGGCCTTTCTCTTGCCGAGCTCTCTTCGTCTTGTACCGATGGTTCTGAAACCAAATTTTTACCTGTGTCGGTGTCAGGCGGATGATACTGGCTAAATGCTCCCGCTCTGGGGCAGAGAGATATCTCTGCTGACGGAATCTGTAATAAATTTATTGAATAAGTTTATGGAAAATATTACAATCAAAGGAAGTTTAAAATAAAAAACAAAAAGATAAAAAGATAAAAAGATAAACCGATGTTTATAATACCTTTATGTCCAAATCCAGGTGATGGCCTTAATTTTTATACGTGTTGAGTAATTACTAGATATAAACATTACATTGCGACCAACGAATACATATCTAGATATTATATAAAAAACTGTTCTATCCACTCGCTGATTAAACTTTATTAAGCGTTTCAGTGAAAATTAAGTACCTCTGCATGGTAAACTGGATTGTGAATGGGCAGTACTTACTCTTATCTAAAGAAATATCTTCTTATGGAACCTGGATTGTTATGCTTTTCTCGTAACTGCATTATAAACTTAATATTAAAATGACTCATGCATAGCTGAGGAAATTAAGACATAGTATTTTTTGTGTTACAGATAAAATCCTACTTGTGTCTTTAAAGCGAATCAAAAGCAGAACTGTGTCTCCATAATGTGTTCGGTGGTGTTAATATTTGGAAAAGCAGCTGATCATTCGTTCTGATTAATATTTTAGGCATCCAGCAAGATGTGTATGCATTTGGTTGTACATTGTGGTTCTGAAGCATTAATCATAAAGAAATGTTTTGTTTTAAATATTGCAATAAATTAAACATGAAAATAAGCATGGTATTGAAGAATTCATCGCTTTAACATCTGAGAATCAAATATTGCAAAATATTATTGTTTCAAGTGCTTTTGACCCATTTTATAGCACTTATAAGTCAGCACGTCCATTTATCACGACGGGTTTTTACACCAGAACAAAGGTAAAACCACATTTTTTTTATTTCTTGCACATTATTTCGGTACCATATATTCCCATCATTTCATATGACATCCAGAATTTGAGAGCAGACTAAATCAGTTCTCATCTTTGATGAATGTATTGATCAATTTCTGCACACATGACATAAAAAAAAATCAGATTACAAATCTCTAGGCATACTACTAAACGTATTGCAGACCTGATGCTAATTTTGGGGGATACTCATATTACTGTGATATAATGGAAGGGATTCGCAAGCTAATATAATCCTAATTTAAGAACTAGCATTTGTAGACTGACAGGCAAGAAAATCATTTTGAGAGAAAATAACTGAAAAATTAACTAATGGAAAACTACTGTTTGCAACTCTCACTTGTAAGCCCTAATTAATATGAGTTGTAAATGATTGTCTTGCAAAAGGGTAATTTCTGATTAATTCCTCAATGACTGGAGAATCATGCAGTGATGGCCGGAAGACCACAGAACTCTAGCAATTACTTCGGTCAAAGAAATTTGTCAATCAATACAGCGTAACGTTTTATAGTCCCGCTTACATTTAGCTTTCCATAAAGTATAATTGACAGAGAGGAATAAAGACTAACCTTTTAGCAAAATAATGATGATTTTAAATTCCCAGATCTTACTTTCTTCTTCTATTTCTTAAATGCTTCTCTTTCTGGGATTTTATCAATTATAACGCCCTTCGTTCTACGGAACACCTTGCAAATGTTTTTGTCAGTCTTTCATCCCTGTTTTTATTGTCTCTTGAACATTTGCTGAGCGTAAAGTCTTCAAGGGGCTAAATTTGCCATTCTGGAAGAGTATGATATCGTGAAGAGAAAAATAGGAGGTGAAGACATTTCTCGAAGCTCGACTTTAGAACATATTGTCTAACACAGAGTGAAATGAATAAAAGATAGTTCTCTTGCTACCTTGTTAAGTTAATCAAGTTTTAGACGCTATATAATTTTGCAACATAACTTGACATTAACACTCTGACAAAAGTAAACTTTTAAAAAATTATCTTAATATCAAAGAAGCAGATTAAACTTCATTTACAACTTACCTGACTAAATTCCTTTATCACGAAGAATACAAAGCTTTCTATTAAAAGAACTTTCGTTTCATTTCGGAATCATACGCGTATATCACGTAGGTTTTGTCCCGCATTGGAGGCTCTAAAATGAGATTTTGGCTTCTTTTCTATCGTTTTATGAGTTTCTGCTGATTTTAATGCAATGGCGTTTCTCTGCTTTACTTAGCAATCAAGCCACAGATATAGAACATATCATTGTCGTGTTTAGTTTCTCGAATAAATTTCACTATATTGCATCATAAAATAATGTATCGGTTTTACAGAGATAATAAACCGCCTATCTATCCTCCCGTATAATACTGTCAGGTACTTTAGGTGTTCTCTACTCTTGTATAGGAGAAAGAACGTCGATAACGATCATCATTTTGTATTGATACGCAACAAATTTGAAATTGTCAAACTATTTGTAAGTAGCTTTCTTACCTTGTACCTTAAACTTATAGATTTCTGTTGTATTTTTATCTAATACGTAAAACATTACAATATAGGTACGTGATAAGATCCCGTCATCCACGTTCCTGTATAATAAATCACAAAAAAAAAAGGCAAGCATCATGTCTGAAAATCATTCACGAATATGATGGATTTTCTGCAAAATCAAAATACTTAAGCGTTTTGCTGATGTTTAATATGAAGAAAGCAGAATAGCTCGAAGCAAATATTTCCAGACTTGGCTAGAAGAGAAACACGCTAATGTGACAACACGCAAATGTGAATTGAAACACTCAATCGATTTCGAGGGCAACTAAAGGTCCCTCCTCATCAGGACCAAAAAATACCTAGAAAGAAGAAAAATAAAGGGGAAGGAGTCTCAGAAACACGTTGTCCTTATCAGCACTGCACGTGGTTATAACCAGATTTTTAATCAGAGTTACACTGGCCGCCTACTTTTACATTATTCGAAGTTCAGATTTTGAGCGTGAAGGTGCAGTTGCCCCTCGCTCCCTACTTTAAACTTCGCTAATTTTTCTTGTCTTTTGTTACATGTTTGATCAGATAGCCTGGCTCAGTAAAAGTAGGCGGCCAGTGTAACTCTGATTAAAAATCCGGTTATAACCACGTGCAGTGCTGATAAGGATCACGTGTTTCTGAGACTCCTTCCCCTTTATTTTTCTTCTTTCTAGGTATTTCTTTCTCCTGATGAGGAGGGACCTTTAGCTGCCCTCGAAATCGATCGAGTGTTTCAATATACTTACGCTAAATACAAGGTTGTTTTTACGATTTTTATTTCCAGACTTACTTAATTTTTTGCAATGGGAGAAAGCAAAATCACTTAATTATATTTCTTTATCCAGTATCTTCAAGATTAAAGAGATCACATGTTTCTTTTAAACATTTGGTGAAATTTCCTGCAGTATTAATTTATTTAAATATTTTCCTTAAAGGTTTTCCTGAATCCACCAATCTTTAAGTGGATAACGTTACTGAATATACCTAGATTCAATTCTCAGTGACAGAAATGCTACATGGATATTTTCCTCAATGAGAATTGATCGTGAGAGATGTTTATGATAGTATCTCCTGCCTGAAACAACCACCATGAAACGTTCCTACAAATGTAAATAATTTTCAGGTATTTTGGAATAATAAATTACTTTCTTACCTACCCCGGTAAACTTTTAATATGGTTGTAAGGATTGCGTTAATTTTATTAACAGTTAAATTTTGAGTTAAATTTCCTTTGCTATCGATTCTTAACTTCAACTTTCCACTTCCGGCCAGAACGTAGTTTTAGAATCACGTCTGAATACATAATGAGGAAGAGCGGTATTTAGCCGCGAAGTTCTTCGGTCTGAGTGAGAGAGATACTAGGTATTCTGGCTGCACGCGTCCTATTTTTTAGGCTACTCTCGTAAATTATTATTACGCTTGGCCGTACTTTAGGCTCTTGATAGCTTCGCAGTCTATTAACGTAAAGGGGCCAACTCTGTTAGAATCTTTATAGCTTCGGCTATATCTATTTAGTTAAGATTAGCTTAGTTTAATTCTTAGTCTCTTAAGTTCAAGCCCAAGTGTCGCCCTTATTGTACACTCCAAGATGGAGTTTTTTTAAACTTTAGTTGGAATAATAAAGGGTTAGTTTAACCTTCTATGTAGTTGTTTCCTATCACACGAACTCAAGCGATTATTCTCTTATCAGTTCTTAAGATTCTTCACTTCCAACAGTAACTTAGAATTACAAAGTGAGGAACTCTGTATGGTAACTAAACTTCAGTGTATTACAAATGCGGCTAGCCACACGATACGCTGAAGCTAGATAGTCGATCTGTGAAGAAGTGTGAAACTACATGTTCTGACATTACAGATGGAATAACTTGTTCCATAATGTTTTTATTTAACAGTTCAAAAACTGTAATTTTCCATATCCTACATCAAAGGATTTTAGAGATCTACGCTGTGTCTGTCATTAAAACCTCTCGATTTCAGGGAGTTCATGGACCATCTCTCCATTATACCATTATTCCTATTATACGTTCTCCATGAGCTCTGCATCTTCTTTAATATTATCCTTAATCATAACTATTCAGATGATGTAAAATGCAACAGAACTAAAACGGAGTGATTATTTCAGTCTGAAAAATGTGCTAGACAGTGGAAGTTTCCAAACTGTTGCATAAGCTTGTTACTGCTACCAAGAACTATGTCTTCATATAATGAAGGCGACTGAAAACTAAATCCCACTTTGTTGTTAATTTATTTCTAATATTGTTAGCAGCGTTATAATGCTATTAATCTTTACCTAAATTATTAACAAATGCATTAGAGTTCAGTACTGTTCATGAGCAAGCAACACGCAACAAAACTACCAAGTCTCCTTCAAATAAACCCACTCCTTACTGAGACGGAACCAAGCTACTAATACGATAAATAAAATTTTAAGCTTACAACATTTCGGAGATATTTAAATTATTACGAAAATATTTCAGCTTACGACATTCACATTATTAAGAAATTAAAATTTGAAAGTTTCTTAATTTAAATGAAGATGCTGATAGTTGCTATTGTGGTGAAAAATAAAATATTTCAAAAAGTTAAACTATTGATTGAAAGTATTGGAATAATTTTATACCTCCTTTCTAGTTCGTATGTTTGTGCTTTGGAAAACAGAACCCGTCTTTTCCTCTTTTTCATTGGAGGATTAGAGGTATCTCCGGATGTTGAACTTGTGGGAGTGTTGTTGCTGCATCCTACATTTCCTCCAACATTATTATTGTTGCTGCTTGTGCTACAGTTCAGAATGCTTGTAGTCGGTTGCTGGGAAGAGGTGACTTCATCCGAATCTGAATCGTCGGCGCGCCGTCCACGAGTGATAACGGATGCCGCCCCGTCCGCAGTTAAGTCCGGCGGAGAGGATGAAGCGGCTGGTAAGTCGTCTAGAGCGCTGTCCTCGTCTACGATTTCATCATCATCGTCTTCAAGGTCATCGTCTTCATCGAGGTCATCTCTCTCATCTGTACTCCGGGTGAGCTCATGATGTGTTAGGAACGTGTGTTCAGTGCTCGTCAAACAGGGCTCGAGTCCCATATGAGCGAAAGCTGCAAAAATCAAGAAGACAAAGTCAATACTTTTTTTAGTCTCAGTAATTTCCTATCATATAATACTCTGTGATATAAATTAAAATTTTTTATAGTTTTGCAATCCAACTCCCAAAGAATTTCTTAACGTGAAGGTACTATATAATAGAATGAAGGTAAGAAACAGAAGAGCTCCGAACAACTCTGATTGTCAGAACAAATGAAACTCCGTTGTGTTATCTTGTAATTGCTCTCCTGTTCTCCATTAGTTGCAATGTCTCAGTGAAATTGTTTTCTATATAATTCTATGCATTTTTCATTGCTTAAACCAGTGGTTTCAACTCACATTGCATGTGGGCTGAATACACCGACGTGAAAGTAGTTGACAGACTAGATTTCCTTTTTTTTTTTTTTTTTTTTTTTTTTTTTTTTTTTTTTTTAAATAAAAAGAAATTTAATCAAATTTTAAATTATTTTCTTTACTAAATAAATTAACAAAACATGCATAAGCACAAATAAAAATAATAATAACAATAACACAACGAAAAAAAATCGAATTAAAGTTTGTTTTGAATCTGAATTCTGAAGGTTGGTACCTAAAAGGAGTTTCTGTTGTTTACACGTTGTATATCAAGAGTGTTGATAATTTAATATTAAATTTTCAGACTGATATTTATTACTAATAATTGAATAAAGGAAACAGGAATAAATTATTAAACTTTCCAAGTTTTCAGGTAAAACCTGAGAATAAATAATGACAATCTAATTTCGTTCTTTAATTTTTCTCGACACATACCCATTTGCTTATTTGTAAATAATGATATTTATTTCTCACTACAAAATGGCGGTTGATGTCGTTTCCATTCTGATAAAATATATGTAGCCTTGAATAAAAATCATAAGAAACTGGCTTCCTCGCCTAACAAAATAATTATTATTATTGCAAAATTTTCTAACTGAAGGTCTTTTGAAAAGTACGAATGAAATTTAATCAAATCTTTTACTTTGATATGATATGACTTCTTTAACTTTGATATATATAATAATATTCTTATCACACTGTAAATAATTAGTTCCCTTTGTAGAATTTTTGCTCATTATTCACGTTAATTTTTAATAGTGATGAATATACTCTAAAATCGGATTTCAAATCATTAAAAACTTAAAATCTTTCTTCAAATTATTATCGTAATAATTCTATTTCTTTACATGTTTCTGAGATGTTTCATTTGAAATAATGTGTCAGAATTTAAAATATATGAAATTTACGAAAGTTTTTGAGCCTATTTGTGTTTACCAAGATTGCAGATTAATTTTAGGAACTTTAATACAGATATAATAAATGAACACACGTTAAATCTTTCTTTGTAACTCTTTATTTAGAATATTTAATGGCTACTTAAATCAACAATAATTGCGAAATCCTAACACGTGGCCTGGCAAATAAGCATACGGTAACAGAGACAACCCTAGCCTATTTATTCATTGAACATCTTTTGCCCTCAACAGCATTCGCGGTTATATAACTTCTGTCTATTCCTCTACATTTGTAAAGCGCTGTATTTACAACAAATGCATATTTCAAATGCATTTACTGGCCATGTAAAATTGTATCGAGGCCGGGAGCGATGAGCGGGCCGCGTATTTGAGACCACTGGCTTAAAGTATGCTATAAAAACATCGTTATTTAAACACACGCAATTTTTTTATACTGTTAAGCGAATTCTCAAATTCCCTTTAAAAATTTTAGCAGCATTAATTGATGTGTGTGCTAAACTCACAGTGAGCTTCTGATAAATACCTTAACAGGACAATTATGGGCAGAAGTAAGTAATTTCAAAATAGCTAAACAATTTGATATAATTTCTCTTTTCGAGTGACTAATAAACTCACTCACTCCATGTTACACAAATAATGATTATTATAATATATTTTAAAGTTGGGAATAATGAAAATTAAGAAAACATAATGCATAATATTATTTATTGAAAAATATCTTAAATAGCGTGTAACAAAAATAGCAATCCTTTGTGATAAATTTATATTCAAATCAGTAAATTAATGTTTCAAATTTAGGTGTTTTCAAAGTGCATGATGTAAATAACTTTTTTCATTTGTTTATTATAATTATGTTAAATTTATTTATAAAAATACGTTAAAAAATAAAAAAATACAATTTATAAAAGTATTTTTGTTTACCTTTTTAATAAAACGTATTTCAATTTATTTTTAAGAATAATGAAATTTTCATGTTTAAAACAATCAAAATATAATAACTGCTAGAAATCCAAAACGTCATTTAACCCAAAACAAAAAAAAATGCTTTGTGTATATTTTTTAATCTAGCGCTTATCTTTCATGCTAGAATAAAATATCATCCATAGATAAAAAAAAGACTGGTATGTCGTGTAAATTAGGTCAAACGTATAAAATAGATTTTTAAACTCAAAGATTACAAATTTGTTACGGTTTTTAACATCAGAATGAATGAATTAGAAACATTCACTGAGATTTTGTAATTCATTAATGATTTAGAAACATCACATTAGAATCGTAAAATCATATAAACAAAAACTTTCTTTTTGGAATAAAATATCATCCATATATAAAAAAGACTGATATGTCGTGTAAATTAGGTCAAAATTATAAAACAGATCTTTAAATTCAAAGATTAGGAATTTGTTACGGTTTTTAACATCAGAATTAATGAATTAGAAACAATCACTTCGAATATTAACAACATTTTATAAAAAACTGTACTGTTTCAGCGTTCAATTTCAGAAAACGTCATTAAGTTGTTTCATATGTTGCGAACTAAAAATAAATCCTTGTTTAAAGTGACTTTGTTTTAAGACATAGAATTCATATAAAAATAAAAAGGAAATGTATAACCTCTTATTGCTGAAAGAAAATTATTACAAGAAATATACAAATTTTGTTAAAATTATTTGTAAACTTTACGCGCCTTTTTAAAAGGAAAACTGATCGAGACTTTTTCAGTTAAATATGACTGATACAAAAAGTAAAATAACAAACTACATTCCGAAATTTGATTAAAATAAATAAATTCCAAGCATTCAGAGCAGTTGAAACAAATTATAAACATTCTTAAATATGCTTTTCTGTTTTTTTCGACAGTTATTGACTCGTTCTTAAATGTAATGAGGTTGGTTAACAACAAACAGAAATTGGAAACTGTTTATATCTTCAAAATGTTGTAACATGACTAAGGATAATGATTTAACATAATCTACTATCGATTGTCATGAATCTTCAATATAAAATTCCTAGAAATTAGTTTTTTCGGATTTAAGCTGGAAACAATTTTAGCAGAAATTGAAATTTTCGAAAAAAAATCAAATTTTAGACCCTTGATTCCTTTCCAGCTTCAAAACATATTATTTCAAATTTCGAAATTCTTTCTAATTTAGCCTTGAAATATATTTCATCAATAATTTAAAGTAATTAACAATAAGTGATCAAATTAAAACATAAAAAAATTTAATTTCCTGCTGAATCTTCATTGTAATTCCTTTCAATTTAAAATTTAAATATAGTTACGATATGATTAAAAGCAGATGAACTCTAATGAAACTTTTAATACTATCAGTCGTTTCATTCAAAGCCTTTCATTTTGTCTGGCCCTGATACTAATAATGAATTCAAAAAATTAATTTTTATTTAAATGTTTCTTTCTTAGTCTCAAAATTCATTCGTGTCCAAGACTGGCGAGATTCAAATATTTGTTTCTTTACTATTATAATTATTCCGCGAACCTATTTATTGATTAATTCAATAAATATTTTTAAACTGCATAAATGTAACATTACTTATTTGTGCTCTACTCTATTATTTATGGTACAATAAAACCTGAGTTAGTTTTCGACTAAACTAAATTGGACAGTTTTTAAACTTGACAGATCCAATATTTTTAATCAGTTATTTTTCATTATTCGTTCTTAGAAGTTAGTTTAGTGATATTACATTGCATAAAGAGTTATGAAATTTTAATTTATCTCGAGAGATACTACTTCTAGTATACAAAAATATTTAATTTAGTCGTCGGTTATATCAAGTTAAATTTATAATGCAGAAAAGATGTCCCCACTGTAATTTGCTTTGTTTCATCATATTGTTATATGGTCTAATGTAGGTGTTCGAAAACTATTTTACTTTCTCTTCGCACAAGTATATTTAAAAGAAGAAAGCCATTTAGTAAGTTTAAGACAATACTTTGTGAAGTACAGTATACTTTGCAGGTCATTATTAAGATACTATTCTTTGTTTTTGCATAATTAGATCCAAAAAGATCTTAGAAAGCCATTTAATCAGTTTAAGATAACACTTTGTAAAGTCCAATATGCTTCGCAGATCATTAGTAAGATATTATTCATACTTTTTGCAGAACCAGATCCGGAGAAGAAAATACTTCTTACTACTCTCACAAGTTATCACAAGTTAATGAAGATAATTCCGATCAAACTTCATTCAGTAAATTTAGCTTTTTTATATCCTTGTTACTTCTTACAATCATTACCTTAGAATTCACGAATTCCTGCCTCCGCTCTGTTGTTCGGCATTTAGTTCGATCAAGGTTCCAATCTTGGCGAAGGGGTTTGCTACATAAGAGTTTTCGTGGTTTTCCCCATTTGTAATTACTAGATACAAACCAGTTCCCATAAAACTTCTTGCACGAAGTAATCCTTCCCCTTAGGCACTTAGCCCTTGAGTTTCTTTCCTTCAGTTTACCTAACCTTATTCGATATGGTTAAAGGCAGAAACATTGCGGACGAAAACGTTGGGGAGAAAACAACGCAAGGCGAAAACATCATGGGAGAAAAGAAAGCAAGGAGAAAACTTCTCAATTTAGAAACCTCGGTGTCGAAAATATCACGGTAAAATATAAAAACGCTATGACGACAATATCGCAGACATGTATTTTTCAGGTTAAAAATTCCTATTCGCATAATGATCTATGAGTGAAAAAGAAATGAGGAATATTTTTATTTTAATATTTTTGA